GAGGTCAGCCTGGTTAAGTAAACACTTTTATAAATTGAGTAAATACATCACCACTGAAGTGGACAGAACATTCTTAAATTTACTTTAAGGACCCATACATTAGTCGGATAATCATTTGAAGGGAAGACTGAGCGCCACTAGACACAGCGACACGCCTTTTGATCCTCATGGAGGAGGTCTTTTCATAGCACACTAACTCATATTTTTTACTTTTTCAACTAAACCTGATTAGCTACCACGAAGCAGAGGGCAGTAGTCTTGGCACCCACAAATACTTCTCTTGCAATTTTCGCATTCGATTTCAAAAGGTAAAATGTTACAGTTTTCATGACTAGCTTTCAAACCTATTTTTACACACCACCGAATATCACGGCTTTTTGAAGTCTAAAGTAGCGTTTTCATGGATGGAAAAAGGCATCACGGAAAAATGAACTTTTGCGCCGAAAATAAGCCTTATGGGCAATATTTCAGCTGCTGAATTTCAGGATCATTTCAAGGTGTTTGTTCGAATGCATAAATGGAGCGCAACTCACAATATGAGGTTTAACTGCAGGGGAGTGCCCACACTGGTAATGCGTTTCCTCCTGGAACACATTATATCGCATCGACTTGGACTCTTCCTGTTTGACCTCCCCATTTTCTTGCTTCTCAGGCGGCAGGCTGGCTAAAATGCTGAGATAAGAGGCTGCGTCTACAACCAGCCTCCTACCAACCAAAATTTCTCTCAAAATGACATAGGTGTTGTAGAACCTCGTTACGATCAGATAGCAGTCAATGAGAAACAAGGTGAGTCTTAGCTGCCCCAAACTGAGCGGAGTGAGATGTAGACCAAACAGACCGCCACTTGGCCTTGTTTTCACCTCGAGATTCAACGTAGAAAGCGTAGAAAAGGAGGGCCTCGCTGCCTGTTCTTGATTGACAACTTCAAGGTCGTCTAGAGTTGTGAACGAGCGCAGCACCAGAGGCTTAAAGACGTCTTGGTCAGTGGCAAACGTCTGGCTAACACCACTTTGCATTGTTGGTTCCGATTCCTTGTAGACATTTGCAATAAAATTGGACTGAAGTGTTTTCGATGGTACTTTGGACAGGACCAGATCTTCGAGTCTGAAAACAGTGAGCAAATTCATCATTAAGTGGTGCATCAGTAGCATTTTAGAGAAATCGAACAATCATTTTCATCAACCAAAGAAGTCATTAGAAGTTTGAGGAATTCTTACTTTCTGAGAACTATGATAACTAATGACAGATGTGAAGGTAATGTCGGAAGCAATAATCGCCTTAATGAGCTAGGAACACTGGCTAATTTAGATCACATGCGCTAGAATGTTTACTTCTACCTTAAAATGAAAAAAAAGCTTTCTCGCAGGAAGGAGGGAAACTCTTTAAAAGCTATCCATGCTTCAACTGATGGAAATTAATTAAACTTGTCACCATATCAAGTACATGAGGCCGTAAATAGATGGAGTGGGAACTGCCAACGTCCTCCTATTATCTTTCACGAAGTGGTTTAAATGGTGAGTTTCAAAATTTTGCACAGATTTAGCATCATCTTAGCATTTTAGCAGTTTAACTACGGTAACTTAGTTCGGTGTTGTAAATGACCCGACAAATGGACACTTCTGACATCCTCAGCAAGGGTTGCTTGTCAGTGTTGATTGTTATTCTATTTTAAAACGACTTCTGGGACTGAAAAAATTGACAAGCACGTATCAATAACATCTGTGACAGGTTCGTTCTGTGTAATGCTGTAAGAATGTTCTTAACTTTGCTTATGGAAATGAAGGGCCATAATGTGTGATAAGCAGCAGGAAAGGCAATGCTACTCACGGACCATCAGACTAAAACAAAAATCCCAAAGCTTCGGTGAAAAGGCTAAGGCGACAGTTCTTCAATTCCATATACGCAATTGCATAATCTGCTCTGCAACGCCACTTTTTTGAGCAACTACGCATGAATAAAGTCCGGATTTGTGTGACACATGCAGACACGTATAAATTAGTGTCTGCAATCAGCGCCTGCAAATGTCAGTGCTACCACCTCAGTATTATCAAAGGTGTTTCGCACCATCTTCTGTTCCATGTCTAGAGACGTCTTAAAGTCGGATAAATGTTATTATTATTGTGTGCTGTTCGAATGATAGAAAGAAGGAAAGAAATGTCATAAGAGTGGACCCTTTCGATATCCACCCTACAACAGCAAATGAGCGATTTTCTTCGTTCGTCCACGAAAGCACTGAATTGTACCGTTTAAACCCAAATCGCTTCCTAGCATTTGTCGAACTTAATCTTACTTTGCATCTAGCACATTCTTCTTCAACCGTTAACCAACTCAAGCATCAAATGCGTCCAAAAATGTAGCTGCTGTGGTCTAAGCTTGTCGTTCGGAAAAAAACTGTCGCACTGTGTATAACTGCGCAAACGTACAGAGGCAATGATATAAATTAGTGAAATTAAAGATCTTACACCAATAAAATCTTGATTATGCTTGGCCTCTCTTCCATTTCAATTACTAACCTAAGTAATTAGCAAAGGCGGGCGAAAGGACAATCGTAAGCCCCTTGTGTCTCTCTCAGTCAGTCACAGCTTCAAATGATTTCATTATACACAAGGGAATACTCGCAATGCAAAATTATTACAAAATGTATACAATCTACAATTTGTGGGAATTTAGAGTCGTTTAATATCATGTGTATGTTGAGATTGCTTCGGATATGGTGGAAATGTATCCTCATCTTTCACTGCTGCAACCTAAACAAATGCTCTCGGTAAAGTTGGAGTGAAGCAGAGCTTAAGGGAAGCAAAGCAAAGAGCACTTGCTGATGCTTGCAGTGACCGTTCAACAACACCGAAAGCCATTGGGACGATGACACAATGAAAATAGTCTTATTGGGCATAAAAAAACTAATTCCCTCCGATTACTAGAGACTTGCTTGGAGGAGACTACCTCAGTGGGTTTTGTAAAAAATTCAAGCATAGGACACGAAACAATTCACCTTCTTCTCCCCTACCT